TGTTCAAGTCTGGGCAGGCGTTTGGCTGCCAGGGGAGGGAGCTGATCGAGTTACCTCGGCACGACCAAGTGGGATAAGGAATATGAATGTGGCTGCTTTGCGTGACTATACCGGGAAAATTTGGAATAGGAGAAGAATTGATGAATTGTTTAATGAGGAGGATAAGAAATTAATTTTGAGTATTCCTATTAGCTTGCAAAACAGAGAGGATGGTTTCTGGTGGACGGAGGAACGAAGTGGATTTTTTCGGTTAAGAGCTGCTACAAAATAATTATGGGGGATCAGCGTGCAGGTACCTGGGATGGTTGGAGCCGAGTTTGGGATATGCAAATACCGCTAAAGTTTGAATATTTTGTTTGGCAGGTTATTGTTGGCATTTTTCCAACCGTTGATTATTTAAGAAGAAAGGGAGTGATTATTCAAGGAGGATGTGTGGTGTGTGGCAGTGAGGAGGAATCTACAGGCCATGCATCACGGGATTGTCCCGGGGCGGAGGTGTGGCAGTTGTCAGGGGTGTCGACGGACGGAGGCCGTGTTTCGACTGAGGAGTGGTTGTGGCAGAATGTTTCAATTTTGTGGAGTATTTGAAAAAGAAGAAATAATGGGGTTTGGAAGGATCAACAACAGGATGCGTCCGGAGTGATCAATGTGGCGTCTGGATGATATTAGGGATGGACCGGCTCTGGGCCGGTCCAAACCGGGCTTTTGGGGGGGGGGGGGGGGGGGGGGGGGTGGAACCGGCCCGGGAGTGATCATGTTAGCCGCCACATTGATCACTCCAGGATATGGGCTGCGCTTCCGCGACCTTTTATGTCCACGTTTACCATCCACCGATAAACCCCGCCTCTTCCGCTTCCACGGCCTTTTGTGTCCACGTTTACCATCCACCGATAAACCCCGCCTCTTCCGCTTCCACGGTTTGAGTAAAGTACAACCTTTTATTTTTAATCAATTCAATCAACAAGGTTTTACCATTATGAATTGTCACTTGTAGACTTGTACCCTTAAAACTTATTTCCTAGATTGATGGGGCTAATTGACTAAGAGTCTAAGACTGCTTGCTGCTTGGCTTCACAGGAATTTTACTTGAACCTAAAAATTGACTTTTAAACCGTACTATTTTTTGGAAAATAAAAAGCTCATCAAATATGATTCTTTTGGGATTAAGGGAGTAATAGACATTTATATTTATAATATAATAGATACCAAGTAGTTGGGAAGGAGTTGAACAATAAACGAGCTGTTAAGATACCCAATAATGGGAGATTGAATGCTTCCCCTCAGGCTGCTACCTCTGATCATGGTCAAACGCCAAATTCATCTACAGTCGAATTTTATCAGGAGGTTCTAAGCTCTACACCCCCCATTTATTCATTCTGGCATTTTAAATTTCTTTCTCATCAGTGATGAACTGATGTGTGATTATATTGCCAGATTTTAAGAGATACTAGGGAAAAGTTTACGCGGGAGATATCTTTCGAGTTGAAGGACACAGATATATTACTAGCAAAGGTATTCTGCCTTCTTAATCTTGTTTGCTGGTAGTTTACCAGTTCAGTTTGATCATAAGTATTTCATGAATACATAGCTGTTTAATGGTTTGTCTTGGATCTTCTCTATATGGTTATTAATCTGTCCAATTAATTAATTTGACAAGTTCAGTTTGATCATTAGTATTTCATGAGTAGTAAATACTAAATATGTTCACTCTTTCATCTCTGTCTCTTTGGTTTCTGGTTTTTTAATTTGTGCTATGGAATCTTGAGGGTTTGACTATCTGCGAGTGAACCGTATTTCATATTCACCATTGTTTTTTTTAAGATATATTCACCATTGTTTAATGATAATGTAATTTGATGTTTGGGATTCCGGGGAAGAGCCCACTCTTGACAAGTTGAAAACAATCTACACTTATTTTACTCTATCTACTATAGTAAAAACAAAAAGTCAAATGCTTTGAGAAAAACAAAATCCCTGAGTCTGTTTGGATGGAGGGTTATGGAGGGAACTACTTTGAGAGTTTAGTCACTTAAGTGTATATCTTGATACATAGAAATGATAGAATTGCTTCTAAAGGGAACTAAAGATGATCGAATATTATATGATCATTTATTAGGTGAATCTTTCAATTTTTTTTAATAAAACCTCAAGTATGTGTAATTGATATAGACTAAATAGACTTTACCTCCACAAGCATCCTCTTCAAATTGTTTTCAATAGTTTTTTATTTATATTTCATTTCTAAGGAGTACTGGACCAAACTTGGATGGACGGGATCCAGTGATCCGCCAATGTAGTCAGTGTTGGGTTGACTTCAGATCCAAAATCTTCTGTTATAACGCTTTTTGATGCAAATGTGTAGGCTTTGCTTTATGTTGGCGCTGAAGATGAGTCATTAATAGCGTTCAATCGTGAGAAGGATGCTCTTTACCTCCAAACTGAAAGACGAGCCTCTGCTAAGTCACCATCTGATGCTCGTCCGGCTTGGTCAAATGTGGAAGCTATGCCACTAGCTGGAAAAACTATGGATGATTGGTTGCGGGAATTGGATGATATTGCAAATGAGGTTGAGTCGGTGCTGGTTTCAAGAAAGATTGGACGTGGATCAGTTGAGGTTATGGACGCAGTGAACACTGTGTTTTTCAACTTGAAAGGTTTCAGAAGGTCAAATGTATTGTCTGATTCCACGTGCTCATACTTGCACTCGGCATTATGCTCTGGATTTTGTAGTGGTATATTTTTATCCTTCATGTCTTTTTATTATACAAGTATTTACTATGATTAGTTACATGGGAGTTTTTCTATGTATTTACTATACATCACTATGATCATTGCGTATTAAAAGACACAATTTTACCCTTTTTATTTTTTATTTTAGCCGAGTTTTGGTCAAATCACAAAATGACCCTTGGAATTTCTAAAGATTACAAACAATGCATTTGACCAGTTAGATTTTACGCGAACAGGCAAATCTGGTATAAATACTGTGGCTAAGGAAAATCTGACAAATCATTAATGTGTTTTTTTGTAACATTCAAAAACCTTGATGGGAGATTGAATGCTATAGAGATGTAGAGATAAATGTAATTAAGGGATCATTAATGTGTTTTTTTGTAACATTCAAAAAGCTTGATGGGTCATTTTGTAATCTGATCAGAGCTGTAGAGATAAATGTAATTAAGGGATTAAGGGAGTAATAGACATTTATATTTATAATATAATAGATACCAAGTAGTTGGGAAGGAGTTGAACAATAAACGAGCTGTTAAGATACCCAATAATGGGAGATTGAATGCTTCCCCTCAGGCTGCTACCTCTGATCATGGTCGAACGCTAAATTCATCTACAGGCGAATTTTATCAGGAGGTTCTAAGCTCTACACCCCCCGTTTATTCATTCTGGCATTTTAAATTTCTTTCTCATCAGTGATGAACTGATGTGTGATTATATTGCCAGATTTTAAGAGATGCTAGGGAAAAGTTTACGCGAGAGATATCTTTCGAGTTGAAGGACACAGATATATTACTAGCAAAGGTATTCTGCCTTCTTAATCTTGTTTGCTGGTAGTTTACCAGTTCAGTTTGATCATAAGTATTTCATGAATACAGAGCTGTTTAATGGTTTGTCTTGGATCTTCTCTATATGGTTATTAATCTGTCCAATTAAATAATTTGACAAGTTCAGTTTGATCATTAGTATTTCATGAGTAGTAAATACTAAATATGTTCACTCTTTCATCTTTGTCTCTTTTTTTTGTGGTTTTTTAATTTGTGCTATGAAATCTTGAGGGTTTGACTATCTGCGAGTGAACCGTATTTCATATTCACCATTGTTGTTTTTAAGATATATTCACCATTGTTTAATGATATGTAATTTGATGTTTGGGATTCTGGGGAAGAGCCCACTCTTGACAAGTTGAAAACAATCTACACTTATTTTACTCTATAGTAAAAACAAAAAGTCAAATGCTTTGAGAAAAACAAAATCCCTAAGTCTGTTTGGATGGAGGGTTATGGAGGGAACTACTTTGAGAGTTTAGTCACTTAAGTGTATATCTTGATACATAGAAATGATAGAATTGCTTGTAAGAGGAACTAAAGATGTAACACCCCCTGCCCTGCCCAGAAGGCTAGGGCAGTGAGCAATACCCGCAGTGCCGGAGCACCAAAGCGCATACTAACTTTCTATTTTTCTTTTCAATATTTCAAAAATACTTTTATGTGAAAAACGAACTAGTAATAATAATTTTATAAAAGTTCATAATTGCAGAAGCATCCATATGCATATTTTATACATAACACGTAAATATTTAGTGTTGCTATTACATCACACTATTATGCTAAATAAATATTTATTATGTAGACTGAAATGAAAATGTTACTAATATGCAAGTGTGACTCTGTGCTGATGGGCAGATTGCTCCCAAATGCTTTCCTCCTTCAATTTTGCCTCGTATCGACTGTGTACCTACGCGAAGGACAAAAATCCAATGCGTTAAGCAAATCTTTTTTAGTGATGTTCATTCTTTCTCCATACCGTTCCAATTCAATATCAAATATTACATAATAAATCAACAATTAAAAAAATGACATTTACAAATATACTAAATTGAACATATAACCTTCACCCGAAGGATTTTATCCGTTTGACTTATAAATCTCAAATGAATTCATTTTGTTCCAAATAGCTAGCTATTAGTAATATAAACAAAACTAAGTCAACTCTTTGTTTTGAAATTCTTCATAGCTTATAAATCAAAATTAATCTCTCAATATATTTTACAATCAAATATTCAAATACAATCCTCATTTACTTATATCGGGAATAATACAGATAGATTATATTGGTTATTTCAAATCGTATAATACTATTTCATTCAAAGTAACTGATTCAATATATAGTCTGTTTTGTTCGAAATAGTTACTTTAATATATATATATATATATATATATATATATATATATATATATATATATATATATATATATATATATATGATAGAGTATATAGACTCGGACCCCCGGGTCTCACGACTATTGGGCCCGGACAGCGGCCCACATACGCTCAGTAGATAGCATTTATCTCATTGTACACTCTATTTTATTCATGTATATCCATTAGAATAGATTAGATACCATTTATTAGCCATTTATTGGCCTTTTATTGTAACTGGGCCAGCCAGGCCCAAGCCTGGAAGCCCAGCCCTCTTTTCTCCTATAAATACTCCCTATGGGAGCCATGTAAGGGAGAGAATTGATTGGAATTCATTTATACACATCACTTTATCTCTCTAGCTCTCCCTTCTCTCTAGAATTAATACTCTATCATTTGGTGCTTTCATTGAGAGTTAGAATATATCAAGTGAGATCCTCCCAGCCAATAATGTTACAAATAGATGGAGGGTGTGGTGCCACATCGGCCCCTTGGCTAAGGAGCAATCTGACATACTCAATATAAACATTCAACACGCCCAACTACCGCTTCGGCCAAATTGGGACTCCTGTCATCCTGTGGCAACATAGTGCACTGGACCACCTAAAGCCTCCAACTGTCCTTGGGTCAAAGTAAAGAAAACATCAGAACTTCACACTTCGGCCTACGAAAGCAAATGTGTGTCAGGTCACGGCCAAGAGATCAGAAGCGTGAGTGGAGATGGTCACTCCCATCCACCAAGGTCACAGGTGCACCCTTCGTCTTTGTCCAAAACGGTAACCAGCCTGCTCCACCTCCCTTCGGCCAAACCTGGAGAGGAGGAAGGAAACTGCAGGGGTGCTCCACATCCGCCAAACAAACATCAGTGCCGTCCCTCGGCCAGTATCACATCGGCCGACGTAGGGGTGCTCCTACTGGCATGCGGCACGCATCGGCACACCGCATCGGTCGGCACCGCTTCGGCCGGAGTCACAACGACCGGCACCACATCGGCCAACACATTTCGGCCGGCATCCCCCGTCGGCTTGCAGCAAATCGGCCACATAACGGCCAAGCAAAGCTTCACTTTGTTCTGTCAGCAGAAAAAGAGTCACCTCGTCCAAGAGATCACCTTCGTCCAGAACACCTCGTTGGCTTGCTCAAATCAGCTGGCACCTCTTCGGCCAACACCGCTTCGTCCGGCACCGCTTCGGTCAACGCCACCTCGGCCGGCACCGCACCGGCCGGCACCGCACCGGCCGGCGACACCTAATCAGCCGGCAACGCATCGACCATCACACTTCGGTCGGCAACGTCATCGGCCAACACGCATCGGCCATCACACTTCGGCCACTCGATTGAGCACAGCAAGGCCCCACCCCGACCAAGAAAAACAAAGCGGACAGGGCCCTTCGTCCAGTGAGCGGCAGAGGGTCTCACCTCGGCCAAACATGAAGTAACAAATGAAGGGAGCCCTCGTCCTGGGAGCAGCAGGGGTCTCACCTCGGCAAATCCCCACATCGGCTCAAACCGGTTCCCCTCGGCCAAGGGAAGTCCTCAACGCCCCTCGTCTACAAGTGTGCAGCAGTTCCACTTTAGCCAAACGCGAGCAGGGGTACCACGTATCTTCCGCCCCTCGTCCTAGAAAGCACCGTGGGTTCACCTCGGCCAGAGTGAGCGACAAAAAAAGGGGGCGTAGACGAGGGCACCTTGGCAACCTCTCATCGGAAGGCTGAGCCAACCTCTCATCTTGGCAAAGCTTCATCTCGGCCAACAGCAGGAACTCCGCTCCAGTCAAGGTCACAAACGACTGAAGTGGGACCTCCGGCCAATCGGAAAATCAGAGACACCACCGGCAAGGCTTCTGCCTCGTCCTAGAAGCAGCAACGGTCTCACCTCGGCCTAGCCTCAATACGCGCCGGCCGGCGAGACCTCGGCGTCCGCGCCCGTAGGCTGTTCTAGCACCTCGGCGTCGATCTGAGGCGCGAGCAACTGGAAAGCCTCGTCCCCTCAACTGCCTGGGGTAACATCCTCGTCCTGCCTATTTCACGCGGCCAGGTCGGAGGTCAGAAGCCTTTCCCTCGTCCGCTTATGACCCGATTCCTCCCCTGCGACTGGAACCTCAAGGCAGTCCTTCAAGCTTAAATGAGCTCATGGGCCAGCTGTTTAATCTCCAGGGCTGGATGAGCGGGCCCAATCTTATATTTCCCTGCTTGAATTCTAAGCAGGGCAGGCTTCGGCCCAAATACAAGTAAGTCTCACAAACTTTTCCTCCTATTTTATGCATTAAATATGGAGCAAAATAGTTTTACCACTATTCAAAAAAAATATAGTTTTACTACTATTCCGAAAAAATAGTTTTACTACTATTCCAAAGAGAAAAAGAAAAAAAAATAGTTTTACTAACTATTCAAAAGAAAAACAAAATAATAATAATAATTATTATTACTATTATTATTATCATCACTGTTGCTAGCGGGTCAAAATCTCCAATTGGTACGGGCCAAGCCCTAACCTTCCGAACATCTTTATTTGATGATTCGGATTATATTTGGGTCCCTTGACCTACCCCGGTCATCTTTATTTGATGACCCGAATATCTAGAATGAGAGCCATCATCGGCTGCACATGACATTATGCCTAAAAGCGGTACGCCTCATTCCCCTAGACGCTAATTGCGTCATCCAGAAGCCGTTGCAATAAACAACGCACCCAAAGCCGTTGTAATAAACAACGCACCTAAAGCCATCGCAATAAACGACGCACCCAAAGCCGTTGCAATAAACAACGCACCTAAAGCCGTCGCAATAAACGACGCACCCAAAGCCGTTGCAATACACAACGCACCTAAGGCCGTTGCGATCCACAACGCGCCTACAAAGCCGTTGCAATAAACAACGCACCTAAATATCGTATCGGCACAAGCGGTGAAACACCCAAATCGGCCGGCGATATGCAGGACGAAGGACCTGTGTGCATGGTCCAACCTCTTCAAACGGAGAAGCATACCGCGTCGTCCGCGCGGAAACCGCAGGACGACAGGCCTGAATTAAGGCTGAGGTTACAAAAACTCCACCCGTCAGTAAAATTTCGCTCAGGACCACAAAGGGCGGCCGTCAAAATACGATGCCTAGTCCGGTCCCTCGTCGCCGATAGACGTGGAAAGGCAAAAAGGGATGCCACTGACACACCAAGCCGAGGGCGTATTTACTCCCTCGCACTAACACACGCGAAAAGCGTAGCGGACAAAATACCGCACATGGACGAAGGGACAGTAACCCTTCGGCCATCCAAAAAAAAAAAAAAAAAAAAGAGGGAAGCCGACGGACCGCGCACTTACCGGCCTCGAGCAATAAAAATAAATAAATTCCCCAAACTTATTATTCATCTCAAGACCGGCTCCCAATGCCGAAGCTCTTGCTCCATCAGCTTATGAACGGCCTCCCCAACGCCGTCATACTTTTATATGACGATCGGCTCATCATCGCCTCGTCATCATTATCCGGATCGGCTCATCATCATCGCCATCCGCACATCACGACCGGCCTCCCAGCCTTGGCGTGATTATTTCTTCTCAGAGACCGGCTTATCATCGCCAAGTGTCCTGAGCTAGCGACAGGGCTCATCATCCCTTCCTGGATGGTGACCGTCGCCTTTATATGACGATCGGCTCATCTCCGCCTCGTCATCATTATTCGGATTGGCTCATCATCATCGCCATCCGCACATCACGACCGGCCTCCCAGCCTTGGCGTGATTATTTCTTCTCAAGACCGGCTTCTCATCGCCAAGTGTCTTGAGTTGGCAATCGGGCTCGCCGTCCCTTCCTGGATGGTGACCGTTGCCTCTACATGACGATCGGCTCATCTCCGACTCGTCATCATTATTCGGATCGGCTCATCATCGCCATCCGCACATCACGATCGGCCCCCCGGCCTCGACGTGATGATCTAGCTCAAGACCGGCTCCCTCAGCGCCAAGTGTCTTGATCTAGCGACTAGGCTTGCTATTCCCTTCCGGGATAGCAACCGTCGCCTCTACATGACGATCGGCTCATCTCCGCCTCGTCATCATTATTCGGATCGGCTCATCATCATCGCCATCCGTTCTTCACGATCGGCCCCTCGGCCATGACGTGATGCTATATCTCAAGACCGGCCTCCTTAGCGCCAAGTGTCTTGAGCTAGCGACCGGGCTCGCCATTCCCCTCCTGGATGGCGACTGTCGCTTCTACATGACGATAGGCTCATCATCGCCTCGTCATCATTATTCGGATCGGCTCATCATCATCGCCATCCGTTCTTCACGATCGGCCCCTCGGCCACGACGTGATGTTATATCTCAAGACCGGCCTCCTTAGCGCCAAGTGTCTTGAGCTAGCGACCGGGCTCGCCATTCCCCTCCTGGATGGCGACTGTCGCTTCTACATGACGATCGGCTCATCATCGCCTCGTCATCATTATTCGGATCGGCTCATCATCATCGCCATCCGTTCTTCACGATCGGCCCCTCGGCCACGACGTGATGCTATATCTCAAGACCGGCCTCCTTAGCGCCAAGTGTCTTGAGCTAGCGATCGGGCTCGCCATTCCCCTCCTGGATGGCGACTGTCGCTTCTATATGACGATCAGCTTCATCATTGCCTCGTCATCATTATCCAGATCGGCTCATCATCATCGCCATCTGCTCATCACCACCGGGCCCCCCGCCTCAGCGTGATGCTTTATCTCGAGACCGGCTTCTCATCGCCGAGTGTCTTGAGCTAGCGACCGGGCTTGCTATTCCCTTCCAGGATAGCAACCGTCGCCTCTATGTGACGATCGGCCTCATCATCGCCTCGTCATCATTATTCGGATCGGCTCATCATCATCGCCATCCGCACATCACGACCGGCCTCCCAGCCTTGGCGTGATTATTTCTCCTCAGAGACCGGCTCCTCATCGCCAAGTGTCCTGAGCTAGCGACTGGGCTTGCTATTCCCTTCCGGGATAGCAACCGTCGCCTCTACGTGACGATCGGCTCATCTCCGCCTCGTCATCATCATTATTCGGATCGGCTCATCATCATCGCCATCCGAACATCACGACCGGCCTCCCAGCCTTGGTGTGATTATTCCTTCTCAAGACCGGCTCCCTCAGCGCCGAGTGTCTTGATCTAGCGATTGGGCTTGCTATTCCCTTCCGGGATAGCAACCGTCGCCTCTACATGGCGATTGGCCTATCATTGCCTCGTCATCATACATTGGACCGGCTTATCATAGTCGTCATCCTCGCATCGCGGCCGGCCTCTCGGCCAAGGCGCGGTACCCTATATCAAGACTGGTCTTAGCCATTCCTTTACTGGGTGGCGACCATTGCATGGATTTTTGGGTCGGCCCCTCAGTGCCGATCATGGCAGGCCCTTGGCCTCGACGTGATCATATTCCCCAAGACCGGTCTCAGTCATTCCTTCATCGGATGGCGACCGTTGCTTGGACGTTTGGCTCAGCCTCATAGTGCTGACGACCGTCTCAACACCGGCTTTATTAGCGCCAAGTGTGTTGAGCTAGCGATCGGGCTCCCCATCCCTTCCTGGATGGTGACCGTCGCCTCTACATGACGACCGGCTCATCTCTGCCTCGTCATCATTATTCGGATCGGCTACCCATTATCGCCATCCTTATATCACGATCGCCGCCCCGGCCTCGGCGTGATGATCTATCTCAACACCGGCTTCATCAGCGCCGAGTGTGTTGAGCTAGCGATCAGGCTCGCCATCCCTTCCTGGATGGTGACTATCGCCCCTACATGGCGACCGGCTTATCATCGCCTCGTCATTGTTATTTTGGATCGGCTCCTTATCACGGCCGTCCTCACATCACGATCGGCCCCTAGGCCACGATGTGATGTCCTATCTCCGAGACCGGCCTCTCATTGCCGAATGTCTTCGGTTAGCGATCGGGCTCGCCATCCCCTCCTGGATGGCGACCGTCGCCTCTATATGATGATCGGCTCAGCATTGCCTCATCATTGTATCATCAGACAGGCGTCCCACGCCCCGTCCTCATATTCAGACAGGCGTCCAGCGCCTCGTCCTCATATTCAGACAGGCGTCTAACGCCTCGTCCTCATATTCAGACAGGCGTCCAACGCCTCGTCCTCATATTCAGACAGGCGCCCAGCGCCTCATCCTCATATTCAGACAGGCGTCCAACGCCTCGTCCTCATGTTCGGATCTAGCAAACATCTTGCGGTCTCCGGCTCAGAGACTAAAGGATCTCAGATCTCATCTATAGGCCCCTCGGCCACATCTTGCTCTAGCATCTTTATTTGATGACGAAGGGCTCTCATACAGGCCCATCATCCATATATCTTGCTCCGTCATCTTTATTTGATGGCGAAGAGCTCATCTACAGGCCCATCGGCCATATACCGCTCTGTCATCTTTATTTGATGACGAAGAGCTCATCTACAGGCCCATCGGCCATATATTATTCTGTCATCTTTGTTTGATGACGAAGAGCTCATCTACAGGCCCATCGGCCACATATCGTTCTGTCATCTTTATTTGATGACGAGGAACTCATCTATAGGCCCCTGAGCCATATCTCGCCCCGTCGTCTTTATTTGACGACATGGAGCTCTTATGCAGGCCCCTCGGCCATACATCGCCCCGTCGTCTTTATTTGACGATGTGGAGCTCTTATCCAGGCCCCTCGGCCACACATCGCCCCTTCGTCTTTATTTGACGACGTGGAGCTCTCATTTATGCCTCTCGGCCACTACTCCCAGTCATCTTTATTTGATGACGTGGAGCTCACATCGGCCCATCGGCCTCATATTCTGGTCATCTTTATTTGATGAACCAGTCATCATATTATGGACGGTCGCTCGACCCATCCCTTAGTCATCTTTATTTGATGACTAGGACTACTGATCATGACGAGCTACCCACATCTATGGATCGGCCTCTGCCATCCCCTCGCTACAGCTCCACCTCTAGGCCGAAGGGCTCGCACCTTTTGTTTCGTTCTGGGGGCATCCGATGTACTCTTTTTCCCTCATTAGGATTTTTTCCCACAGGGTTTTTCCTAATGAGGTTTTTAACGAGGCATCTCCCCATTGTGGATCAAAAGGTGTCAACCCTCGGCCCCCTTTTGCAGACATCATCAGGCATGCATTACTCTACTCCTCTTCACCTCATTACACTCGCCTCAAGGAGTGGGGGACTGGGAGAGCGGGGGACTTAGCGCCTTCACTACCAAAGAAGCAGAAATTCAAAATTTTTGCAAGGATTGCCACTCGCACCGACGACATCATCATATCACATACATTTTCAGCTGCCACATCGGCCATCACATATACATAGCTCCCCGGCCTTAAGACCGGTAGTGATGGTCTCTAGCCTGCGACCTTCGGCTGAGGATTCTCTCACAGGGTTGCCTCAGTCAGGGCTCGCCAATGGGATCGGATCATCGGCATGGGAATCCGGGCGAGGCGCTTCGGCGACGACAGCAGTTTACTCACCGGACGACGACAGATCAGCACACAGTTCTACTCTCTTTCGCCTCGAGTACTCTCGACTCAGAGAGTGGGGGACTCCTGATAGAGTATATAGACTCGGACCCCCGGGTCTCACGACTATTGGGCCCGGACAGCGGCCCACATACGCTCAGTAGATAGCATTTATCTCATTGTACACTCTATTTTATTCATGTATATCCATTAGAATAGATTAGATACCATTTATTAGCCATTTATTGGCCTTTTATTGTAACTGGGCCAGCCAGGCCCAAGCCTGGAAGCCCAGCCCTCTTTTCTCCTATAAATACTCCCTATGAGAGCCATGTAAGGGAGAGAATTGATTGGAATTCATTTATACACATCACTTTATCTCTCTAGCTCTCCTTTCTCTCTAGAATTAATACTCTATCAATATATATATATATATATATATATATATATATATATATATATATTTTAGGATACATAATATCATGATTAAAACTTTGTTCTTGGTTTGAACTATTAATACCTTGTGATTTTCAAAGCACGTAGCTTAAAAGCGTAAAATCATATTTTTATTCAACGTTAGTCTATCTCGTTGTCTCTCGTATTTATTATTGACTTATTCTAGCGTAAACTTTTAATTAGTAAAATTTAATGCTTCAATTGAACGAATATAAAATCACGTTCATTTATCGTCTTTCATTTTTATATTTATATCTCTTACTTCATTTTCATAATTCTATTTTCCACATTTTCCCCTTTTTATTCTTTATATGCCTCCATTTTCACAATCCTTATATCTCCATTTTCACATCTTCATATTATATATAATATCCTCCAAGTTCATATCATTATAAATTGTCTAATTTAAACTTGATACATAAGAACGTAAAACATGAGATTCTCTTCACAAAAGTTAACTTAAGTGTTTCGTACTATTACATAGGAATCTAATCAAAACATTATACTAGTATATATTTCCGGTTAAAGAGTTTAGTTTACTTCTAAATATATATAAAAATAACAGTTATAAAAATATAACAACTTCTTCTATTCAAGGCTATAGTATATAGTTATCTACATAGAGCATAATGGAGTAAACATTAAAAACAATTAAGAAGATACAAATCAATTAAATAGAACAATGAATTGAACTTTTAGAACATGTATAAGATAGAGAAATGGTCCTAAATAGGACTAGAACTTATCTAATATACCTAAATAGGAGCTAAATGATTTTTATACGTAAATAGGACTATATTTTTCCGTCCTTCCAGATTTACCCCCAACTTATTACGGAGTAATTGCCTCCTCTTCCATAGTTCCGTGTCCACAAACCCAGTTACCCAGCCATGCTTCTCTTTCAACTGTGGGAGTGGCTCCTTGGCAGAACAACCGGGAGCGGAGTGCGGATCTGAGAAGCTGAATCAGATGAGGCGGGGAGGTGGCGTGGCGGCACTGCGGCAGGACTGAGCTGACGGCAAAAGAGACGCGCGATGGACAGAAAGGGCCACGTACAGTGCAGCTCCGACGAAGATTTTGCAGACCCCTTCTTCTTTTTCCCCTGCTCCTCATCCTTCTCTCGTCTTCTTCTTTTCTCTTGTTGCCGCAGTTTTCTCTCGCTTCTTCTTCTCATCTGTAAATGCTCTGTTTTTTCTTCCATCTTTTGTTTGTTCGCTGCTGTTGTATTTCCTTTTTGTCTTGTTGTTCTTTTTCTATTTTACTTTACCAAGTTGTAATTTTGTTTCATTTATTTTTAATATACATTAATTTTTTATTATTATTTCATTAATTCATTTTAACCATTTAGCCATGTTAGCTTTGATGGCTTTGATGTGTCAATGTCATCGGAGATAGAAGCTCGCATTATTGTTTTATTCAAATGTCACATTTAAATATACATTATCATTCATTTTTACAATGATATTGATATTAATACATTATTGTTGATAAATGATTTTAATAAAGTGTAACATTTGTTTTCATTAATGAAAATATTTGACAACAGAATTCACAATGTGAAAGTGACTGATACAATTGTGGAATTCGATTCCATTGTCAATGTCATGATACGATAAATAATGGCATTGACATTGTCATTATTTGACATTGTGACAATTTTTTGACATTTTGATAGTTTTCTGATATTTTCATCTTTTTACAATGGCATGATGATGTTACAAACTTACAATATCTCGATTTGATCAGCAAAATAATGCCACTTCTTGATAATGTCACAATATTAATATCTCAATGTCACAATGTAATATACAATGTCACAATATTGCAATGTCACAATATCACAATGTCCAAATATCACAATGTCATGTTGTTAGTAATAAAAATGTTAATAAATTAAGTCAATATTGACACATTTTTTTGTCTTCCCTAAAAAACAATTTTTTCCCGTATGTACACTTTCACTTTTGATAGCACCGATGTTCTCTTTAACAATGTCAATTTTATTAGGAGTGAGCATTGACATTTTCAGGATAGTCATTGACATTGTGATTATTACAATGTTATTTTTATAGCATTGACATGGTCACGACATTGTCATTGACACTGTAATTATCATAATGACATTTTTATATCATTGACATCTTCAAAATTTGACATTGTGACATTATGACATTTTAGTGACATTGACATTTTTATAAATTGTAACATCGTTAGTGAAAAGTTGATCCTGCAGAGGTTTGTCACCTATAATGAAAATTTTATAACCATAAATGATTAAATTGTGACATCAAATTTCAATAAATTTGACTTTATTTTAACATGACATTTTAATAAGACATTGTTTTCCCCCTTTAATAAAGTTGGACAATGTAATTCAATTTGACTATCCAAAATAATGCAATAAAATCTAACAAAATAAAGATAATGTCATTAATAATGTATTGAATTGCCAACAATGTCACTATATTTATTATCTTATTATTAATAATTCTTTCTCAAAAATAAATAAATTAAATAAATTCCAGAAACTAACTTAAATATATATTTGCAAAATTAAAAAAAAAACAAAAACAATAACAAAAACGTATGAAGAATCTGAAAGCCAAAACATGAGGAATTGAAAAGTCAAACAATAACAAAAACGTTCAAAGAGGTATTACAGGGTATAGAAGAAATCCGATAAAATTTAGAAACAGGGGAGACTTGCACCGGGCAAAGAAAGAAAAAGGAAAAGGAAGAAGAAGAGGAATCTTGTCGGCACCACTCGATGACCACCAGTGGCAGAGCAGCGGTAAAGCAGCGGCGGTAGAGCGGAAGTAACTTGCATCGGTGACCACCAGCGGCAGAGCAGCAGTGGATGTAGTGGCGGTGACCTGTGCCCGCCGAGAATGATATAACGGGTACTCAAAGATCTGAAATTCTGAATATCATTGACGGTCAGGCATGAATGAATGTGTTCGGCAACATCATATGCGGACAGCGGCATCTCAAGGGTATTTTTGTCTGTACGTCTAAAAGTAGTCCTATTTAGGTTGAAAAAACTATGAACTCCTATTTATGTTCCCGACGTTTTTTTAGTCCTATTTGAGTCTATGTCCCTATTTAGGAGAAAGAATAAACACAGACCTTAAGCTTAATTTTTTTTTTCGGGCAAGACTTTCTCCTTATTTTCTTCCCTTCTTTCTTTCCCCTCCTTTTCTCTCACGGCTCTATCTCTTTTCAATCCCTATTTTTCTCTCTTTTCTAATTCATACATGAATGAGTTGTTTTGCCCATCGCTCCTTATAATAATAGTACGGTGTTCGTATACTATAGCTAGAGCTATTTATATATACATAAATTATAATTAATTGGTGTGGTTCGATCGTTTCAAAACAAAGGTTGTCACTAAAATTATACGATAGTAATTTAAATTTGTCCAATTGTGTGGTGATCGAAATGTCCAGCAAGTGTGTTGCATGCACTTCTGAGACTAAAGTTTGTCCTGTATTATATGAGCTAAGTGTAGTAAGCAGGCCGGCATAAAGTTTCTGCCAAGTTTCATTTGTATGATTTTGGCTATTGTTACGTGGCTTGGTTGTAATACTTTAGCTGACAATTGATTTTTGTTCTCTTCTTCATATTATTTGACGAGTGTCTCATGCATGACTCATGACTGTCGTACCTTATTTGAGTGTTCATTTCCTTCTTTTGTTTGTTCATGCATGGTTTTAATAACCTGATGACATTGTTATTAATTTTCCATGTTGTCACTTCTGATTTTACTTTATATACGAAGTATATTGTATACGTTTATATGTACTTTTTTTTTCATTTATTCGATCTATTTTGTTTTTGGTATATGCCTGCATGTTGATTATACTCAATATTTAAGTCACCTATGAAATAACATACAGAGTTTTTTTTTTCTATGTCTTTACTTTTAGAATTTTAAAAATTATGAAAATGGGAATGTTACAAAAGATAATCGAATATTATATGATCAGTCTTTCAATTTTTTTAATAAAACCTCAAGTATGTATAATTGATATAGACTAAATAGACTTTACCTCCAGAAGCTTCCCCTTCAAATTGTTTTCAGTAGTTTTTTATTTATATTTCATTCCTAAGGAGTACTGGACCAGACTTGGATGGGCGGGATCCAATGATCCCATCAATGTAGTCAGTGTTGGGTGGACTTCAGACCCAAAATCTTTTGTTATAAAGCTTTTTGATGCAAATGTGTAGGCTTTGCTTTATGTTGGAGCTGAAGATTAGTCATTAATAGCGTTCAACCGTGAGAAGGATGCTCTTTACCTCCGAACTGAAAGACGAGCCTCTGCTAAGTCACCATCCGATGCTCGTCCGACTTGGTCAAATGTGGAAGCTATGCCACTAGCTGGAGAAATTATGGATGATTGGTTGCGGGAATTGGATTACATTGCAAGTGAGGTTGAGGCGGTGCTGGTTTCAAGCTAAGAGAGATTGGACGTGGATCAGTTGAGGTTATGGACACAGTGAACACTGTTTTTTTTCAACTTGAAAGGTTTCAGAAGGTCAAATGTATTGTCTGAATCCAAGTGCTCATACTTGCACTCGACATTATGCTCTGGATTTTGTAGTGGTATATTTTTATCCTTCATGTCTTTTTATTATACAAGTATTTACTATGATTAGTTACATGGGAGTTTTTCTATGTATTTACTATACGTCACTATGATCATTGCGTATTAAAAGACACAATTTTACCCTTTTTATTTTATTTTAGCCATAAATGTGTTATTTTTTATTGCATATAGTTTCCCCGAGATTTGGTCAAATCACAAAATGGCCCTTGGAATTTCTAAAGATTACAAACAATGCATTTGACCGATTAGATTTTACGAGAATAGGCATTCTAACACTAATAAGGACATCTGGGAATCTGGTATAAATACTGTGGCTAAGGATAAT